TGCAGCACACGCACAACAACTATGCTGCCAAATGGTGGATCAAATCCATCTTTCTATAAAATGGCTTGATCTTGAAGGAAAGAGTACGATGGCTAGCAAGGACAATAAGTACCTGCTTGATGATGAAACGTACAACACTGATCATCTGGAAGAATATGAAGAAAATGTCTCCTCCATCTTCGTTGTGAAGCAAATCCTTGAAGACCCTAAAGTTGATGGCGAAGATGGGCGACTCACATCTAATTTTCAAATGCAATTTCTTTGTGGAAACAAATCTCGGAAGCCTATTATTGATGGCGGTAGCAGCCCAAATGTTGTCTCCACAGCCATGGTTGAGCATCTCAAACTTTCCACGGCCCAAATCATTGAAGACCCTGAAGTTGAAGACGAAGATTGGCGGCTTAACTCTAATTTTCAGATGCAAGTTCGTTGTGGAAACCAACCTCGACTTATGATTGCTGGAGTCTTATTTTTGGTCTTTTTGGCATCCATTGGGTTATGCCTCGGTCTTCAAGGGATTTGATTGACATTTGGAGGGGCGAAAGGGTGGGGGCCCATGCTCGTGTTTGTTGGAGGGTGACCCCCCTTTGTGTATGGTGGAGCATCTGGAAAGAGCGAAACAAAAGATCTTTTGATGGGGAGGAAACCTCCATTGGGGCGCTGAAATTTGCTATTATTAGTTCTCTTTTTAGTTTGGTGATGGAGAGAAATTGTATATCTTTAGATGAGATTGTGGACTTTTTGGGTTTGTTGCGTTCATAGGGCTTTTTGTTTGGTATCTTGTATGTCTCTTGGGATGCGTTCCCTTTTTGAACACTTTCTAATACGTTTTATTTATCAAAAACAAAAAAAGTGGAAACCAACCTCGGAAGCGTATTATTAATGGCGGTGGCTGAAAGCGTGTTGTCTCCATAGCCACGGTTGAGCGCCTAAAGCTTTCGATCCAACCACATCCACAACCTTTCAAAGTGGCTTGGATAAATGGTACTTCAGTGAAGCTTTGGGGGGCTCAGGGGAAGATATGCTCAGTACTATGCTGCACATAATTATCTGAAGGCTGTTGGAGTAGAATTTCGACCACGAGAGGAAAATCGTGTCCCGTTGCTTACTCCACCACAAATCCAGCCAGTGGTTCTCCTTGCTTCACCATCTGAGGAAGCTGTTCAAGCCTCTCTTCAATCCAATGCTTCTGGACTCAGCTTGGCAGGGATTCTAAATGCTCAAGACTAACAGATTGATTAATGGAAAGACTGGGTGCCTTGGATGCTCAGAATCAAGGGGGCACAAAGCAAGAGGTGATTGCTGACATTGTTGATCAGTGTCATTCTCACCAAAACCATGTTGTGATACTCGTAAACAATACCGCAGATGAGGAGCTTCTATGCAAGAAATTTGCGTTGAATGATAACTTAAAGCATGTTCTTTGCTAGCATGTTAACATTGCAAAAAGAAACCCAGGTGTGGAAGTTGGAATGATAGAGAATCACGAGGATCGTGAGTCAAGAGATGCTTTTCTTCTTGGCTTGCCTAGAACTAGTGTAGGACATGATGCTATATCTATTGTTGTGAATCGTTTTTCAGAAATGGCACATTTCCTCGTGTTCTAAGACTTCTGATGTTGTCTACATTGCCAATCCTTTTTTCCAAGACATTGTCTGACTTCATGGGTTGCACAACACAATTGTTTCTGCTCGCGATGTGAAATTTGAGTTATTTTTGGCGCAAATTATTGAAGTTGCTGAATACAAGGCTGAAATTTTCTTGTTCTTTTCACCCACATATCGATGGCCAAACTGAGGTTATTTCTTGGAAGCTTGGGTGACTTGCTTCGTTTTCTTGGTGACCATATTCCTAGTTGGGACCAGAATATTCCTATAGCTGAATTTGCATATAACAGATCTGTAAACAAGACCACTGGGCGCAGGCCCTTGGAACTTGTGACAGATTTACGTCCTAGGAAGCCAATTGATTTAGTCATTTTACCAATTGAGGCACGCCCTAGTGCAGAAGCTGATGCTTTTAATAAGCATCTCTAGAATATTCATGCTGAAGTTCAAAGGAAGATTGCGATAAGCAATGAGAGGCACAAGACACGAGCTGATTTTCAGAGTGATTATCAGAAGTTCCTAGTCACATGGAAGGGCAGTCCACTTTTTTATTGTACATGGGTAGCAGATAGTGAGTTCCAGTACTTGGCTCCCGGCCTTTATGAGCAATTTCATGATTTCATCCCTTTAACTCGACGGAGTCGAGTTTTTCCAAGCCGGGGAGAATTGATGGAGATCAATGGCAGAAATTTTTAAAGGTGTATAAAAGGTGCAAAATGGAGGATTCTAAGGCTCGAGCTGGCATAAGCTAGATAATATGGGTCCACATGGAGTTTGGAATAATTGGGAGATCCGGTCAACTTTTATTTACTTTAATTATGCTATTAGGTAAGCATTGATTACCTCAATTATGGGGTGATCAATTTTACTATGTAATAGAGTCAACTTTTGATTACTTTAATTATGGGGTACTCCAAGGGTAATGAGCTGCACTCACAGAATGTTATAAAAGGGGTACAATGTAATCTTGGTGAGGAAGTCAATGAATGAATAAAAATATCCTTTGAGGTTTCTTGGTGAGTGATTCACAAATTATGAGGGTGCGAGGCCTTCTCTAGCTAGGTGTGATACCTAGGCCCTGTTGGAGTGATTCCAATAGGTTTTTTCTTGTTTTCAATCCTTTCTCTCTACCAATCTGTTTATTTGAATTTCCACCCACTTCTCCTTTGTTTTTCTACATTTCTACTATCAAACCTCCACATTTCAGCCCTAGTTCTTTGGACTTTCAGCCTCTGAACTCTTTAGTTCTTAACTATTTAAGGCTTCTCCCTTGTCCTACATCACATTTGGTTACCTTTCTGTTGATGGTTATTTTGATTAGATAACGAAGAAATATCATAAGCCAAAAAATTGCTTGGTAGGCCATCCAAAAGTTCAGTTTCTAACTTCTAAGAACTTCCAAGATTTTAAGAATAATTTTTGACTTCAAAATTTTTCTTCTAGCAGTAAGCGTGGCTTAAAGACATGGAAAGATAATCCTAATAATATAACTCAGGGGTCAAGTTCCCTCACCACCCAACACACGCTTGACTTGTGAGTATGAGTCACAGGATCTTGGAGGGACTGACAGACAGTGGATTGATTTGGATTCACTTAAGGCTAGGTTGAGGGCAATGGATGTACATCAGAGAAGTAAAACCTCCACAGCCAAAGATTAATGAGACGAGGAAGAAGAATAAGAGAGATAAGTTGGGGAATGCAGTTGGCAAACTCTGTTTCTGAAAAAAAAAATATTATATATATATATATATAGTCGCTATGCCCAGCCTATGATTGATATTGCGAGTTAGGGCCCGGAGCTAAGCTGCCCACTGGCATGAGCTTGCAGAGAGAGATTTTAAATGGCAAATGCAAAAGACCGAGGAATACATAAAATCATTCGAGGACAATGGGATGCTAATTTTTTAAATTGGGTTGATAAATGAAGCTGTTGAGGAGATTGTTGAAAGTAATGTTGTAAAGGTAGTGAAGGATAAGGAGAGTGCATTTAAAGCTGCTTGGAAGAATTTATACTGGTCAGCTTGTGCAGCTTATTGCATTGACCTTATGATAGAAGATATGTTGACCTTGTGTAAAAGGGATGGAGAGTTGGTGGATCACCTTCTTTTGCATTTCCCCGTAGCTCACAAGTGTTGGAGCCTTATTTTTGGGTTGTTTGGAGTCCAATGGGTTATGCCTCGGTCTTCTAGGGACTTGATTGATGCTTGGAGAGGCCGCGCTGGGGGGGCCACGTCCGGGTTTTTTGGAGGGCAATCCCGCTTCGCGTTTAGTGGTGCCTTTGGAGGGAGCGGAATAAAAGATCTTTTGATGGAGAGGAATCCTCCATTGGGGCCTTGAAATTTCTTATTATTAGTTCGCTTTTTAGTTGGAGTTAGGGAGATAATGTACATCTATAGAGGAAATCGCTGAATTTTTGGGTTCCTTGGGTCCTTAGGATCCTCTCTGTGGCTTTTGCCGTTGTATAGTTCCTGGAATGCGTTCCCCTTTTGAACGCTTTCTAATACATTCTTACTTACCAAAAAAATAAAGATAGAAGATATGGAAAATGAAAAGAAGAAAAAAAGTTTTGCAGAAACATTTGAGCAAGGGAAGCAAACGACTAACTACCTCGTATTTATATATTTACCACCAACTTTCTAACAATCCAGAGAATCCAATAGGTCCTCAGGAAAACGTTTGTATCAGATGAATAGAAGAACTCAAGCTTTGGAAGACTAAAGAGTGGTGCTTCTTGTGAGGTGAGGAAGATCATTTTAAGGAAAGACTTCCGAAAGAGTGGTACTGAAATATGTGAAGTTCAAGAGCCACTTGTGGAAGTATTAAGATTAGTTAATATAGATGAGAAACCAACTGCAGGTTACCTTTATGAGTCTATGGATCGTGCCAAGTTAGTAATACAAAGAGATTGCAGTTATTATCCTTACCATTGGAAGATCGTTGATAACAAAGGGAACTTTCAATTACAAAAGGATCGGCATGCATCAGGTATTTAATTTATGTGAACACTTAAATTCTTTTAATCTCCTTTGAGTTTTGAATTCATCATTACCAATGATTGATTTTATTTTTTCATGTTATTACGGACAAATAAGTAAAAACAGTGAATCAAGTAAGTATTTGACCATAATAAACAACATTAGAAAAAACAAGAAAATTTTGGCACTGCATTGGCACAAAGACAATTCATCAAACTACCCTCGGTACTTTAGGGCAAATTAAACCATCACCCATGCAAAAGGTACAACTAGCACATTTCCAAAAAAGGAGTAGGGAGGAAGGTTGAAGAATAAAAAACTAGAAAATATGGCTACTGTGCCACCAAAACGCAATAGCAGGAAAAAGCTGCGATGAGGTGGCACCCTCGTCAAAGCACTGCTTATAATAGTATTTTACCTTCCAATGAGTCCCGATAGAGGGCCGCTCGTTATCCTACAAAAGGGACAATCACAAAGTAATTATTGCTGCAGATACCACACATATAAATGTAAAGTCAGTAATTTAAATCAAATGTATCAGTGATTGTAAATCTGTAACACCACATACCCACTAGAAATTCCACCACCAGCAGAGAAGCCTCCGCTTACACGCTCAACAACATTCATTGTCAAATCAACCTTACCAGTATCTGAAATGTGGCAACAGGACTTTTAGTTAAAACACCAGTAGATAGATGAAGAATACACGCAGATATATATAAACACTTTTTTTATCAGTTAAATTGCATTAAAGAAATGCTCAAAAGGAAAGAACGATGATGATGATGATGATAAAGTGCTCAAAAGGGAGTGTGCTCAAAGAAAAACTGCAAAAACAGAAAAATAATATACAGAAAAGCATATCATTTCATTTATTGCACGCATGATGGGCACGTCATATTACCTCCAGCAGGTTGGGGAACAATACTAACATCTTCCATGATGCCCATTGTTAACACAGTCTCCACATCCCTTTTTCCTTGAAGCATACTGTAGACCTACGTAAAAGAATATCAATTCCAAGTATATAACTCCTACTAGTAAGAAAATGAAACCACCAAAACCAGTGTAATAAGCTCAGTGACAAATGATATAATTCCATCCAAACACCACTAAGGTCATATCAATGGGAATAGAATTAATTCATAACTCCAATATCAGAAAAAGGTCACTTTTTATCCTGAATAGAAAAAAATTAAAATAAAAAAGGTCACATTAACAGATCATCTATTAAATTCAAAAGTAGCCAAGTATTTCAGTTTATTGTATCACAAAGACATGGAGTTACTACATTAAAGCTTCGTCTTATGGACATAGCAATGCAAATGGAAGCAAAACTTTGCATCGATGTATATAAAGCGACACTGCATTCAAGGTTGAAACTACCAATGGTGTAGCCTCCCCATTCGGAGGGGAGGGGTTCAAGCTGGGCGTGGCCAAAAAGTGTGTGAGTACTTGCCTGACTAAAAAAAAAAAAAAAAGAGTACCAAGAATGTTAAAGAAGGCAATAACCAGTATTGAATTTAGTCTTTAATTGTTTTCAAAGAGAACTATTTCAAAGAGAACTACAGAGAATATTGATGTTTTACTATCACTTAACACAACTCCACCTGACCTATGTCGTACATATACAATATGAACATAACGGTGGAGAAAAAAGAAAGAAAAACAATAAAAACAACAAGAAGAAAAGAATTAAGGACACTAAATATAAACCAATGCATATATATGAATACGTATGTATCTGCATATGTATGTATACTCACAAAAATAATAATGCTGCATCTCTCTTCCTTGAAACCTCACTCTTTTGCATGCACACAAACATAGAATGCATTATATGACATGCCACGGACACGTTGACATGGTAAACATTCAAATGGACATGTAAGGACACAAGATAAATAAAGTACATATGATGTTATGCCAGATGTGAAAGCAGGAACTTATGAAAGAGTTTGATTGCTATCAAGAGAAAGATTAGTTGCCCAACTTGAAACATCACATTTCCTCCACTTGAGCCTACAGTCGGTAAGAAAAATTCCCTACAACCCCACGGAAGTATATGACTAGAATAAGGTGCAGTTCAGAGTTAGGCCCAGCCTGGAGTAAAATCATTCCCCTGAATCCAAAAGTATCCCCTTTTTCAATTTATCTGGAAAATGACATGTCTACGTCACTTTTTGCTCACTTCTGCCATGCCAACACAGCCACCATAACAAGAACCAAGTAAAGCAGCTGGAAGCACTTACTTCTTGTCATTGAATTCCATTATAAATGAGTCAGGTCGTTAGGGCTGCAAATGGACCAAGTTGTTCACGAACAGCCTGAACTTGGCTTGTTAAAAGCTCAGGTTGTTCATTGAGCCGAGCCCTAGCTCAATTTTCGGGCTCGTTTAGTAAACGAGCCAAGCTGGAATGATGCTGAGCCCAACTCATTAGGCTCTTGAACAAGGTCGTATACTAGGCCCCACATATTTAAAGTTAGCCCATATGTCATAACTCGTAAGTTTAGACCAAACTCAAATATATTTCGAGACATCGTGCCCAAGGCCCATAATATTAATAAACACATAACCAACACATAACCTATGAAGTATGAACCATTAGATTGCAATAAAATCCAACGGTTATGATAAACCTACAAAATGAGTGATTACAGCTCTAGAAGCCCTAACAATCGTCACCCACATCCCAGCCATGTCCCAAGTTCATCGTTCTCACAAATATATCTCCATCTCAGCACTTTCAAATCAGTTTGTAGAGTTCTACCAAATCTATTATACCTTTCATCTCTTCCTCACTCTTTCCCTTTCATCTTTGCTTCAACTACAAAGAATAAGAGACTGAAGTGCACTGCCATCCTTGCCGACAGAAAGCTTGCAACGGTGGTGGATGAGAAATCAGAGGTCAACAAAGAGATATATATATATCAAAAGAGAAATCACTCTACACCTACGTACATATAACATATATTTTATATTTTATATATATATATATATATATAAATTTATATGCTTGAAGATGTTTATGGGTTTGTATACATGTCATTGTGAATATATGTGTTTATACGTGTATTTTATACAAAAACAAGCTCAAGTTGAACCAAGCTCATCCAAACACGTCGAGCCCAAGCAAGTATCTAAGTTTGGCGTGCCGAGCCTGAACACTCCAAAGCTCGACTAGCTCGGTTCATCTACAGCCCTACAAGTCACCCTCAACCACGATTTTGTAGTATTTTTTGTGACGTGTTTAGGCCTTATATGCCATACATCAGAAACCAAATAACACTGAAACTAAACATACCAAGGATGCAACCCAAGTACACTCCCACATCATATTATGTATTCTAGAAGATTTGTCACTACTTGCTATTATGGAGAAGGTCCACCTTTTATTTCTTTTTGGGCAAAATACACTTGCCTCCCCTAAGGCTTGTCAATATTACAGGGACATCCCCTCTTGCTCTCATAATAACACAGACCTCCCTTGACATTTACCTTTTAGTAACTGATTCCCCCTTGCCCTGACCGTTAGTGACCATTAGGGCAAGGGGAGGGCATCCTTGAGACTTTTACAAATCCAATTTTGCTCTTTTTTAATAAGATTCATAGAAACATGCACTCAAGCGGGGAGGGCATCCCACAAAAACTACACAAGGACCAAATAGGGTCCCTAGTCTCTCATTATGTTCAAAAAAATACACCATCTCCCCCATAGATTTACAATCTCCCATAAACTCAACAAAATTTTGAACTAAGCAAGCACCCCTATAGGAGTCCCCTCACTATCAAAGGATCTCCTATTTCGTTCCTTCCACAAGCTCCACCAAATACACACAGGCGCCACCCTCCAAAAGTCTCGAGCTTGGGAACCTATTGTACATCCTCTCCAAGCCTCCATTAAACTCCTCGGAGACAGAGGCATGACCCAAAGAACCCCAAGCATGCCCAAGAGCATGGCCCAAATGTCCCGAGCCACCCAATTCATATTATGCAGAGACATTTTTACCCTAATTGTCCAATGTGAAATTAGTGAGACTACCCTTGATTTGATAAAAGATACATATATTTACATTATTATTATTATTATTATTGATAACTAAATATTATTAATTAATATGAAAACTACCCTTGATTTGATAAAAGATACACATATTTACATTATTATTATTATTATTATTGATAACTAAATATTATTAATTAATATGAATATATATATATATATATATATATATAGACACACACGAATATATAATCTAAGAACAAAAGTATAGAGATGGAGCAGCAGCATGGCCAGCACCCGTCGGAGGAGGTGGAGCAGGGCATCCACAGAGGGGGGGCGGAGTAATGAAGCAATGGCTAAACAGGAAAAGGGAGCAGTTGCTAGTTTTGACACCATAAGCTTAAGACCAAAATCGCCCAGATTTGGTCGTCGATTTTCCCACTCTATTCATGGCCACTGCTATCAACACCGCCACACCTATGAACCCATCACCACCATCTTTACCATTGGAATGAAATTTAGGGAAAAACACATCAAATCTAATCAAATGAATCACACTAAAAAAGTTTGTTCCTTCACCTTCACCTTGTGAGAAGAGCCTAACCATTTTTCCACCTTAAGCTAGTCCCAAGCCTCAATTGTCAATGATAATCAATATCAGAAACTGATGAAGACCCTAAGGCTAGCCTGCGAACGTGCACCACCCTAAGGCTGCAATCAGATAATGATTACTGGTTGTTTGTAGTAATGTTTTGCAGAGATACTTCTGCATTTTTTACGAGGATATTTTGTGTTTACTTAATTACTAAGTTTTCTTAGTTGTTAAGGAAGCTTTTGGTGCCAAACTTCTTTGTTAAGCAAGCTTTTGATGCCTATAAATAAGCATAAATGTAACTCATATAGATAGTTATTATTTGAGATTGAATATTGAAATGAGTTCAAGTTTACTCCCCCTAAATTCACCTTCTCTTCTCCTCCCTCTCCTTCTCTAGCCTCTCTCATCTCTCCTCTTCTCTATCTCACCTCTGTTTCCATCCACCCTACATAAATTTTGTATCATAGCAAAGGATCCATGGCATTCTTTGTCACTACAACCCACATCAAACATACCTTCTCTCAATCGTCAGCCTGTAGTGGAGGCGGTATCAGAGGAAGAGGTGACTGAGAAGGCTCAGATCAGATATGGGTGTTCTGGGCTGTCAGAAAGGGATGTGACATCTGCTGTGTCGACTGGGACAGATTTTGACCGAGGCGATGACCTGACTAGCATGGGGGACTCTAGATTCCTCTCGGATTTTTCTTGTAATGCTCAGTCTTCTTCTTCTGGTAGGGATTTGGGGAGACTATCAGAGTCTCGCATTCGGAGGGCTGAGGGTTCTGGGCATTGTAGGTCGGTTGGAGGGACTGTATGAGACCCCAGACGGATGGTTTGACTGGGAGTTCCGAGAAGATGACAGTGTGTGTTGGCAAGGACATTCAAATCACCCTCGGCGGTAGGGCCTCTTGACTTGATTTTGTGGGCAGAGGAGGGTCATCCAAAATTGGGGGTGGTTTATCCTCTGGCTGTGGTGAGCCAGAAAGGTATGGAGATGGATGTAAAGAGGCAGGAATATGTTGACTTAGGTAAGGAGTAGGTGAAAGAGAATATTGGTGTCAATAGTGAACTGTTGGGTGTCTCTTCTGAGGGCAACAAAGAACAGGCTTTGTCGATTCTTCATGCGACGATGGAGAGGAGAGAAGGGGAGTTGAAGAAGAAGCCTAGAGAAAAAGGGGGGTAGAAGAAAGATGAACCCCCCTTCTTGGAAAGGGAGAAGGAGGTGAGAAATCTCATTTCTTATGTCAAATATGAGGGGACGGATGGGTTGGTGAGGGAAAGGGGAAGTGTGAGGGATAGAGGGAGGGGCAAAGGGGAGGTGAAAGACATTGTTTTCTCATGAAGCTCCGAATTATTTATGGAATGACCGCAGTCTCAATGACCCAGATAAGAGGAAGGT